CTGGGCCAGGTCGCTAATTCAGTGGGTTTTACCAAGAACTTAAATTATCTCCACATCTTTATATGCCTTTTCATATTTCACGAAGACAATTTCCGAAATTACAATCGGGGAAGCATTTATATCAAAGAATTTTGTTAACTATAGACTACCGGTAAGCATTAAAATGCACAAACATACGCCTGTAAATTAAGTTACCATTCTTCGTAATGTAATGACATATTTGATGTAATATAATGATAATTAAATGCTAGAAACTCAGTTTCTATATCCCGTAAACTGATGCTGAGCCGGCCAAACTCCTAGCGCCAATGCCGCGCCAAGCGATTTTATGCCTATTTTTAATCGCTTAAAAATTATACAAGCAGGCTCCGTATCAAAAAAAGCTTCAAATAACAAATAAAATTCATACTTTGATCTAAAACTTTGCCGCAGGAATTTTTTTCCTGACCAAAAAATAAAAAAGTTCCTCGCTTACTACATTTTTCATGTTTTTTATGGTGTTAAAAAACAATCATCTGTTTTAATTTGCCTAAATAAATTATAAAAACTATGTTAAGGTAAAAACTAGCTACATAGTAATGAGCACTGGTTTTTCCAGAAAAATAATATATCAATTTGAAATTTGTATGTTAACAAATAAGTGTAGCAGAGCAGGTTGAGTGAATGTATGTTTGTGTAAAACAGAGAGGTTCATTCGGCCCGTCCGCCTCAGTATCCCGCCAATTCGATTGACTTATGGCAGAGACTGTACCGTTGGAGCTTATGAAACTTGGAGGTTATGAACCGCTCTGTTTATTTGATATTTAAAAGTTGGAGTTTGTGAAATTTGGACATTGTGAAACTGTGCTTATTTGAAAGTTATAGTTTTGGAGTTTATGAAGTTTGGAGGTTATGAAACACACTGTTTATTTAATATTTTAGACGTTGGAGTTTGTGAAATTTGGACATTATGAACCTCACCCGACATAACTAACAAACTAATTTACTGTGAAACTGCCGTCGCTTGTACACTTTTATTTAAATAAAGTTTATTTTGTTTGGATGACACATTACTTATGCTACACATTTTACTGTTGAAAATAGGAATACTTTGTCAGAAAAACATGCTTGAAGTTGAATTTTAACTAGACAGAAAGTCATTAGGTACCGCATTTATTGTTAAAGCGTTGTAATGATTTGCATGATGAATTGTCTAAGGCTCTAAAATTTACTTGTTATTGTCTGGTTCATAACAAAACAACACTTTCAAGGAACAATTTTGTTTTAAAGTGACAAGGATGGGAACGGAACCCGTTAGGTTCCTTGGAAAGGTTAATCTCTATTTTTTTCAGGACAGAGAAGGTTAAGAGATTAATCCAAGTTTAATTAAAAGTGACTACTTAGATTCATTTTCCTACGGTTATCTAAGAGGCAGTCATTTTCTTATCGATAGTAATATCGGCCTTTAAACATCAATGTCAAAAAAATAGTGAAATCTAAATATCGGAGAAAAACATTGAGAGAAATATCGATAGTAGCAATATTGGAGTAAAATATCGATACTAAAAATATATCGGAAAACAACTACAGAAGGCAAAAACATCGACTATCGGCTTCAAAACATAGATATTTTCGATATATCGACTATCGATACCCAACACGAGATTACAGTACCTACCATGCAGTTCCAAAAGGTAACAGCTACATGTTTCTGTAGAATGTCATCATCAAACAAAGCTCCAGTCCAGGAAATAGGTGAGGATTAGGTGAGTCTGTGGCTCAGTTGGTAGCGTCGCGGACTTCGGGCCCAAGGCAGCGATGTCATGGGTTCGGATCCTGGTCACTGCCACTAAAGTTTATCAGCACATTTCACCTTCGTACTGTACGGGCTCACCCCTTGCTTTGCTGGATATGTTCCACGCACAGATCCGTAGTCTATGTGGACGGGCAAATTCAAGGTTAAAAAAGGTCGCCAATCTTTAAAAAAAAAAAATAATAAAAAATAAATACATTACATCTGCTAAATACTTCATTCCTATACTGTATGTCAAGTCAAATAAATCTTTATTCAGACATACAAAAATGTGTACATGAATGTGTCTTAATCTTAAACTATAACTATTACTAAAACCATTTACCAGATCCATTTTTTTTTTTTACATGACATTGACATTCCGCCGAAACACATAAAACATTGTTACCATTTGGAACTACATGACAACCCATAAACCTATATAGTCAATATAGCAGTTCTGGAGCTTTAACAATTAATTTTACTACATTTTGTTCTTACAGTTTTTCATAAGTGTTGGCCATATAACAAATTTAAGTGTAGGAAACTTCATTAGTCTGAATAAGTAATATATTGTTTGACTATAACATTTTCTTTTTTACTGCATGCCAGTTGAGTTTTTCTTCTTTCAAATCAAATTAAATCCGTGTCAATGTTTTTTACCAACTTTTTACCAATATAAACACAGGTTTATCAATATAACACAATTATTTGAAATGATACATTTTGTATTACATTACAATGCTAATAGTGATGTGTTAAAACCGAATCTCAAATCTCAAAACCATCAAAACTTTGGAAAAGTTTCGGTTTCGAGATTCAAAAGTTTCTAAATTGAAGATTTTGGTAGTTTTATCTTTGAAACTGCTGAAATTTTTGTGTGCCATTATTATTGTTTTTAACACTGTTTCCAAACAAGCTGGTAGCAATAGAACAAACATATCACCATTAACAGTAATGAAACAAGTAAATTTTATTCTGAATTTCAAAAGGTCTTATTCAAAAGAATTTCAAAATAACTGGTACAATTCAGTTTCACATCAATATTTACTAAACACAATGAAATGTGACCACTAAATGTTCTAATTAATCTAATATCCTTGTTTATGTTAGTGTTAGAAGTTTAATTAATTTTTTTTGTGCTTGTTTATATTTATGTTATGTCAGGGTCAGGAGTCGATCTCTTTCAGTTTTGATTGCATACTTAAAATTTTATGATTACGTCTTTTTTTTGTAACCTTGACCTTTGTAAAGTAAAACCTAAGGTAAAACCTAAACAATCCTATGTCTAGTAAGAAAAAATTGAATTTGAGGAGAACAAGTTTCAGTTTAATTTATACAAATACACAAGAATAAACTAGAGAGTAGGAAGCTGGATTTGGACCTTAGCATTAGTCATCGTCATCATAATTTTACAGAGCAAACATTATTTTAAACAGTTTTTTTAATAGCTCCAGATTTTTTAATGGTGCTTGTGTTCAAATCTCTAAGCTTTAAACTATGCCTTCAAGTATTCAGTTTTTGTGGAAAAAAACTGGAATTAATCATCGGATTAAAATTAAATATACATTGTAATTAATTAACTTAATCTAACTAAGTAGGCATATATCATTTAGTAAGTTTTAACTCAATGCTAAATACTTGCTTAATTTATTATATTTTGGAAATTATTTTGAATCTAAGTGAAATTCGTACGTCCTTGAAAGATAATAAGGAGAAAAGAATTCTTGGTTCCTCATCTTCCAAATCAAATATGAGGTCACCTCAATTATCAGCACAATCTATTTGCTTTAGAAAAAAGCAAACATACCCTTCAAATACCTGTATGCGTATAGTTTCAATGAAAAAACCGAACTACCTGTAAATAGTTTGTGTAACTAGTAAGCAAAGTGGCACTTTGCTGCATACGAGATAAATGTGGAATGTTTCTAGAGTGCAGTGAAGGCCATTTGCGCTCGTGTTACACGTTATATTTTTCCTACAGTCACTATAAAGCATATAAATAATTAGTCTTTCAAACACTATACAATACGTTTTTAGATTACGTTAAACCCAAGCGTTGAACGGAATGGGAATTACTGCACCAGCTAATTGTAGTCGTAGTATCTTTAAGTTTTACTTATTTTGAAGAGTACACGTATAAACAGTAATCAGTATAAACAGAATAAACAAGTAATTTTGTAACTATCTTACTTACCCACCAAGAAGAAAACAGTTTGTATGCTCGTTCATACTTATTTCTTGATTTTTCAGGAAACAGGTTTATTTTACAGTTTCTGCTACATATTTCATTTGGTGAACCGATATATTCACAATCACTGAGTTCATTATTCTCAAACATGTTAGGCCCACTTATAATTATTCTTTCAAATACTACACATTAGGTTATGTTCAAACCAAGCGTTGAACGAAAATAGAACATAAACATGAAATGACAGGTTAAATCATAGTATCAATGGTCAATCAGCTGATCATAGTAGTAGTATCTTTAACACGTTTGCTACTGAGCTTCGCATATATGCGACGCCGCGGTCATTGCCACAGACCGAGGTATACATTTGAATCTTACACATACACCGGCTGTCACTTGGATAACAGTACACACAGACTACGGCCGAAAACCTGTAAAACAGTGATCATTTACATTGTAATATAAGCAAAGATAGAAGCGTTACAAAGATAGAAACGTTTTAATAACATTAGAACCCTGACACAGATATGCGACAGCAGTCTATTTTAATGTGACTAGATGCGACGGCAGTCTATGGGTGGAAACTGGCCATCGCATATGTACGTCGCTGATCCATGTGAATGAAAAATTTCGTACTATTGTAAATTTGCGAACGTGTTAAGTGTTACTAACCTATTTCCAAGCGTACACGGATTATTTGCATAATAAAACCACACTGTTTTGTGTTGTTTGGTTGGAATCCTGATGTGCAGCAAAGTATAAACCGTACAACAAAGTATAAACCGTACAACAAAGTATAAACCGTACGGCAAAGTATAAACCGTAAGGCAAAGTATAAACCGTACGAGAAAGTATAAATATGAAACAGAATTTCAGTATTACAAATGACAAGACTAATAATATTAGTTTGTATTTTGTTATGAAACCATAATATACATAAGCTGGGCTCGTGTATGTTCATTATTTGAACTTGTACATGTATTTTTAATAGAACTTTAATTTCTTTTACATAATGATAATGTTGTATTTCTCATTCAGGGAAAATTTTGGGACGAATCCGGACCATGCCAGAAATGCACTGACGAACTGTGGGATTCGGCAACCAAAGTATGGTGACCGTAAAATACACTACCAGAACACAAGGAAAAGAGGTAATGGGTTTGGTGTTGCAGTGTTTAACCACACTTTAACAGGCTTTCCCTCTCTGATGTTCAGCACAATACCTCCCCTGTAGTAGCAAACCTAATATTGTTAAACCTAATGTTATTTAAATAGGGAATATATCTGACATGTTTAAGGAAATATGTGAGTGAAAATTTAATAAGGCAATTGGAAATTCTCCTAGTCTGCAGGTTTGCTGTGGTGAGAGTATTTTCCTGTAATATTTTGATTTGAGAGTTGGAATCTCATTTTTAAACTCCTAGTTCTAGTCCTAACTTTTAAATTTGTCTTGCTCCAATTCATATGCATTGGACAGTGATTGTTTTAATAACAAAGTTTGGTATTTCACTATAAGATTACATTTTGAATTTGTACTTGTTATACCAGGTTCAAATCCTACCTATCGCCAAGCTATTTTATGATAAAATATGTTATAAAACAAGATCATTCCAAATAAGAATCAAAGTACACTATTGTAACCAAACACTAAGTAGCTGGTCTATACAACTCACACCAAGCTTAACCTAAGTACCAGTTTTACTATTGATAAATTATTGAACAACTCAATGGTAATGTGATGGATGTTCTTGAATAAAATATCTTCTAACTACTATATAAGGATAATAACACAATTTGTCCTTTAAAAATTTGGGAAACGCATATTCCCCTGATATTGTTTCTCACTCCTTATCTAAAGTGATCAGAAAATTGTCACTCACCTCTAGCAGGTCTTTACCCAACTTACAACTCCAACTCCAATGTTCAGATTACGACTCCCTAGTCACACACACTCGTCAATCTCCAACTCACCAAGCCACAGTCTCCTCAAGAATCCCTGTCCTAGACTGCCCTGAAGCTCCAGGATACCCGAGGCTTATGGCCACTGGCAAGCCGTAAGGGCGGTAGCTTGCTCAGCCGCTGCCAATAGGTTATCTCAACAATACGATCGGGAACAGATAACAATATTCTAACCCTCTGAAAAAACGGCTTGTAACAACTTTTTAATACTGAATTCAGTGAGGTGTGGCTAATGGGTTTTACTCCCAGGATCGGTTCAGGGATTGGCTTGTTCTACCCCTACAGTAGGGAGCTTGTATCAACTTAACCTAAGCTTGTTGTGTTGAATCATACTTTTTATTTTCTAGGCATCAACACCTTGGTCAATATTATGTCACAGTTTGGCGAGGAAGAAGAGACGGAGTCTGAGATCACGCACAATGAGAGACTAGAGTTTCTTGGAGATGCTGTGGTGGAGTTTGTGTCATCTGTTCATCTGTTCCACTTGTTCTGTGAACTTGAGGAGGGTGGGCTGGCTACCTACAGAGCGGCAATTGTGCAAAACCAACATCTTGCACTTCTGGCTAAGGTAACACACCAATAGACCTACAGTATAATGTGCTTAATCCCATTATTCTCAATACATTATTCATAGGTTTTATCAATTTAATATGTTTTCCAACTACTGCATGGTAATGATCACATTGCCACACCTGTAAACAGTACGCAAAACAGATAATTTCTGCTTTATTTATTCCCAATTTCGAAATCAGCTGATTTTACTGTTGATATTTCTATAAAACACAAACATCTGGTAATGCATCTACGAATGTGATTGGTTGACGCCTGATATTAAACAACACAAACTCTCATCAACTATTTACAGATCAAACTATTTTAGTGAAAAATAAAATGTTTTCCAGTGACAGTAGACTTCTTCTTATCCAGACACCTTTTAGCCTGACTACACTCGGCAGAAATGACATCTCTTTAACCGGGCAATTTTTTTAGCACATTGGTTTAACGGGACTAGATTAGCTGGAAGTGGGCGGTACTGAAACAACTGTTCTCGTAGGATAGATTTGAGACCAGTGATCACGTGTCTAAATACAATGCTCTCCTAAATTTAAGTCGAATATCACAGTAAACGGTCTGTTTTAACGAGTTTTTGGGGACGTCGGTTTAACCGGAAAACCCGTTAACCGGACTGGCCTCGGTTCTGAGGAGTCTGGATAAGATGGAGTCTACTGTATATTGTAAAATAAAATAAATAAAAATAAATCCCAAATGAAACTATTGGAGTGAGAGTATGGTTGAAGGAAAGGCTCTAGGCGAGGATTTTGAATTGTAGAATAGGAGTATAGCAGCTGACCTTGAAGAAGTGTTGGTAGGCCATAGAACATTCAGAAGAGGCACTATGTATACAATATTTCGTCCCCTAAAGAAAAATATCAGTTATGGAGAAAGAAAATGTGGTAGAATTTAGTCAATTTACACAATGGCTGCTGTCATGGCTGTTGCGAACTATGTAGTGTTGCACCTTGCACCTGTCACTAGTTTATTTACAACTATGTGCAAAATGAATATCTATATATTCACACACTGCATGCAGCTAGTTGCATGCACAGGTGCTTGGAAATGCCAGTTCCCACCTTCTTAACATGGAAGGGTTGCAATCATCCTCTGGGAGTGATTTAAAGACTATTCGTGAAGCAACTATCAAAGTCCATGCTGTGTTTGTTGGCATGGATGGCCACAGGATTTTCTTTTCCCGTTTTTACATCTTACATCTGGTGGTGGCCATTTATCCTCTTCCTTAGGGTGTTTTACTGTTTTTGTCATATATTGGGCCTGGCATTGTTGGCATTCCCGTTGATATATTAGGTTTCTTGTTGTACAGGTGTAAGTAAACAATCTCCTTAGCTCTGGTTTCAAAATTTTACAACACTCCAGCTAAACAAAAGATCTCTTTTTTTAAGGTAACCTCCCCATTTTGTGTACAGGCAACCTCCAAACCTGAAGAACATGCTCGTCCATCCCAAACTACCTGATATTTTTACCAACCTACCAGAACCACTCCCCCAAGGCTCATGTCCATGTCACCGCAACAGATGTATGACCTGTAAAATCCATAAACAAACCAATCACCAGCAATATTCATAATTCCAAATACAGAATCAAAGGACACCACAATAGAGATAAAAAGCAAACCTAATCTAAATGACATAAAAAAATGTTATTAGTGTTATGATAAGTTATGGTGGTAGCAAAACTCTTTGTATTACTTATTGTAAACTTATTGTATTGTTGTAAAATAACCACAAGCGCAGACGGGTAGCCGGAATTTTATCCCCCTGGAATTTTACCCCCTGGGCAAAGCTGACATCACTATGACAAAGTAACCTGAGCGCTCTAAAGTTTGTTCACAGGCTGAATTTTAACCTGACGGATTTGGAAGTCTAAAGAAAATAGACAGAGCGTGATACATTAGATTAGCAATAAAAACCAGAATTTTACCCCCGTCCATTTAGCTAGTGTTTAGGTAACTCAAGATGTACGGCCCGGAATTTTACCCCCAGAATTTTACCCCCTGGCCAGATATATAAATTATTGAGAATGATTCATTTTCTTCTTTCAGTTTAAATTTAATAGTAAACATTTTATTATTAAGTAGCCTATCTCAATTTATTTGTAATCTCAACTCAACTAAGTTAACAAGTTTCACTGTTTAATTTTGATATTCGGGATTTGGGTTTGGGGCCAACTGTTGGTTACTATGTATGGGGTAAAATTAGGGGGGTAAAAATCCGGGCCGTACATTTTGAGCTAACCTTTTGAAGGGTGCAACCGTACCCTCAAGGTTTTTATAATTTGATGTGTTCTGATTAAATTCACAACCGTGAAAAAATACTCTTAATTCCACCTTCAATCCATCAAACTCATGTTGTGCAGCTCAAAAGATCGCGGCCAGAATTGTACCCCCTGGTTTGTGATGTCAGTTTTTCCCAGGGGGTAAATTCCAGGGGGATAAAAATCTGCTACCCCGCGAAGACAGCCAATGCTGCTCTCGAAATGTATAGCCATTGCGATCTACTATAAATAAATTTAAAGAAAACTAAAAGCCATAAAAGTCTGATTATTTATGTGTAACTAGTTAGCAAAGTGGCAATCGTTTAGACGAGACAAAAACTTTGAAACACTTAACAGTTGATTGCACTACCGTACCATGATTTAGGTTATTCAAGAAACGGCTGTGACAAATAATTAAACACAATTATACACTTTTTCACAACTCTTAGCGGTTGAACATATTCTTACTTTGTTTGCATTCTAGTGATATTAACTTTGAAGGATTTTCATATAGACATTTTGTTTTCTGATTCTGATTAGGCCTAACTATAGTATTCAGTTACTCTTGACAGTTGTTTTATAACTATATTTATCGACATATCATGTTTTATCATCTGTTTATCTTAGTATTTGAGGATGTTTGATTTCTTGTAGATCCTACATCTGGAGGAGTTCATGCTGTATGCTCATGGATCTGATCTATGCCATGACCTGGAGTTGAGACACGCAATGGCCAATTGCTTTGAAGCACTGATGGGTGCTTTGTTCCTCGATGGTGGCATTGAAGTAAGTATATTCATAGACTAAGCTTTTGTGTCTAGTTCATGTACGTCGACACTGATTGCCCATGTAGACAAAACTTTGTTTCTTATTTTAGGGTTATTTTCATGATTTGTGCTTTACTATTTGGTTATGTGACTAGGTGACCAGTTATTGTTTATGATTAGATCGTTTTATTTGGCTAAACGAGGTTGTAAATTATTGAAATAACAAGAAACAATTTGTTAACAAAACACAACCTCTACAGTGCGGCGTACAGAACTAACAATAAAATTGGCTTAAGCTGTTCCACAAGGATTACAAATCTACTAAGGGAGTATGATTTATCTATAATGTAATATTCCTTGACACATACATATCTTGAAATTGACAATAAATTATTTTGGACCCCTTAGAACTGAACCATTCTTTGAAATAAAACATCTTTTCTTGTCTGAAACATAGACTACTACTCAGATTTAGAATTATTGTCATTGGTAAATACAACATTGCCATAGGAAATGCCAAAACAACTCAAGAAATACTGGTAAATGCAGTATAAAAGGAAAACGTATAATGTATTTGACAGATAACAAAATATAACAAATAACATTAAGCAACAAATTAACTTAAAATATGACAAAATAAATTAAATTAATTACAATAAATCCCCAAAGCTTTACTGAGTCAATGCTCGCGAATGAATAGATTGAAATTAATAAAAGATCACCAAGGAATAAAAATGCTAGACTTTGGACCTAAACCAAGTTGGAAGTTAGATCTCCAGGTTTCTGAACTCTTGTGGCAGTTAATCAACACACTTGATCTGTACATATTTTTGGCTATTATCTTCCTCCTTCAAATAAATAAAATCACTTTGTTTTTTTTCATTTTGTATGTACATGATTTTGAAATATGAAAATATAATATACAGTAATTATATTGTAGTCAAAAGAACATCGCTAATAGTCATCTAAATCTGCTAAAATCCCTACAGCCAATAAAAAAGGTATTTAATTATAATTGATAATATTAGCACTTACATAGCTATTTAATTCATACATACTGATACATACTATTAAAACATTACGTTTCCTCAGTGAACACTATTCACTGAAGTCACTGGCCTTTAAAGTCTCAGATTTTAGTTTAATGGAGATGTAAAATAACTTTGATTGGTCTATATTCAATAAAAAGTTAAAAACAATTATTATTTTTCATCAGGAGCTTCAAACATCATCTATTAACATGTGAATTGCGGTTGCGTGATGGCCGGCCGTGGCCGGTGGCTATTGGGCTGCGTGGTTGATTGCGCGAAAACGTTTTAATTTAGTTAAATCCATATGAGAGGCATATTGTAGCATGTACTGCATTCCAGTCCTTATGGGTATAGTTTTACTAGAACCCAACAGATAACAGCACAAAACAAAACTGATAGCAGGCCCTCAGTATTGCCAAATGGAAGGAAAAAGCAGGGGCGAAAAAGCCGGATATGCCATAAAAAACCGCCAAAATTGTGTCAAGCTTAATTTTGAGGTTAGGTTTCTTCCACAATGCTACACTAAAGTAATTATCTTTATTATATTCACTTTCACTAAATCCAAGACCCCCACACCAAATTTAATTTGAACACTCCCTACCACCGATGAAATTGTCCGATCTGTAAACGAATTATACCGGATTAAAGTATAAAACTGTGTGACGCTGCCTACGATGCACTGGAAAAATAATATTAAAAGTGCGTGCAGTCGCAACCGTTTGCCGGGGATAGCTCAGCCTACAATGGCTGGGTAAAGTTCCAGGGTCTGCGATAAGGTCAGGGAAACCACTAGGCCAAAAGCCGGGTCTAACCGGTATAGGACTGGCTCATACACGGGCACTGTGAACAAGTCAAAAACAAGTCACCAAAACAAACGTGCAATAATCACTACCAGGCCTACGCCGATTCTCCACACTCCTAGGGGGTCGTTGCTGACTACGCAACTCGGGCTTCGTCCTAACTATCCAATAGTTAAGCCCAGAGTGCCTTAAACACTGTGAGTTACACGACGACTTGCCAATAAAAACCACAACGCGAGTTATCACCAGGCGGGGTCTACTAGGCCACTATAATCCAATACACAACTCTATTGCCCAAGCTAACAATCAAACAGTTCACTCAATAATAATACCAGATAACAATACAAGTGCACTATAGGTAGAGTGACTACACCACTAGTAGCTGGTCTCAATAAATACCAAGCCAAACAAGCAAAGCTAAATGGCAATTGCACTACTATTAAATTATTGAGCTACTTAGTAGCAGATAAATAAATATTAAATACGTTCCAAACACTAGATAAATATATTATCTGATAGCCGGTACTCCGCTATCCAAGCTACCAAGATAACGTGTTGGATTACCAAACAAGCTGCTCAGGTTAAATTAAAATAATCAAATGAATAAACAATAACAACCCTACTACTGCTACTGCTACTACCAACTTTATGTTACTTAGCTGGGCTTCTGTTAATAGGCTAATAATATTAGCTAGAGATATAAAGTCAATGCTACTAGCCTACTGGCCACGTGTTTCCAACTACGCACGCTAAATCGTGCAGCCTAGGTTTGTCGGGCCTCAGAGTTATTAGTAATATAACTAACTCTTGGTACAACGCAAAATAATAACTACTACAGTCAATAAATTATATTATTTGCGCTCTAGCACCTGCCCAGAACCGTCAGGAATTCACTTTAATATTATTCCTGACTAATATAAATCCTAACTACCGTCAGGCTTTGACCAGCACGGTTACAACTCTAACTCTCGCAATAAAACCAGATATTAATATTATCAAACTAATAATATCAAGTCGTCCACTCACCACAAGTGGGTCACTGACTCACTACCCAACTTGACACCAACACGCCTTGAGCACCAATCTCACACGACACCGGTGTCACCAAAGCACTCCACGTATCACTCGACAATCACGAACCAGCTGTTCACTCACCGTAGGCCACGACTCGAATATCCTTCCTACACTGTCCTGAAGATCTAGGATATCCCAGGCTTATCGGCACTGATAAGCCGGGTCAAAGGGCGCTCGCTAGCCTCGCTGCCGCCGCTTGCTTACCTCTACAGTCGCACGGCCAAATAGCAAATATTTACCCCCCTAGGAAAAATAACTCGTTACAACTGGCACAGCAAGCGGCAAGCGAAACAACTTTCCCGTGCGAGGCTGAGCTCACACTGGATCAATACTTTAGAGTTAGAAGTACTACGTAATTTAACGTAGTCCACCGCGCGCGCCAGTCCCGCAATACACTAAATAACGTAGGTGTTAACTACTTAATAATTACCTGGGTTGCTTCTGAATATTAATTAGTTACAATTACAGCTGCTCAACAAACTGCAAGTGGTGTTACCTGGTTTGTTGGTGTAAGAGTTATGTAACTTGCCTGTTGTCCTAGGTTGCGGACAAAGTGTTTGGACAAGCACTCTTCAAAGAACATACGAACTTGTTAGAGGTGTGGGTAGACTACCCTCCTCATCCGTTACAGGAGCAGGAGCCTTTGGGCGACCGCAAATGGATTCCTGTGTTTGAACTGCTACAGGTAAGCATAGTGTCGTAGTCCTGGACCCTTAACCAACCGTCAGTCAGATTAACTACTGATAGTTTATCTGCCCCAAAGTTTAAAACTCGTTATTCTGACCTGTTCTAGAACAGGGATCTGCGTTCCCATCGTAATCATGGTAATAAAGTATAATCATGTCTGTGTAGGTGAAGTTTTGTTACAAATCTTATGTTTTTCAAGTTATAATAGACAATAGAGTGTGATCGTGCATAATTAGTGAGTCGGTGGCTCAGTCGGTAGCGTCGCGGACTTCGGGCCCAAGGCAGCGGTGTCGTGGGTTCGGATCCTGGTCACTGTCGATAACATTTTATCAGTACAGTTCACCTTTGTACTGTACTGGCTCACTCCTTGCTTTGCTGTTAACGATCCACGCACGGGCGCTTAGTCTATGTGGACGGGCAAATGCAAGGTTAAAAGAGGCCGCCAACCTCTTAAAAAAAAAAAAAAAAAATTCATAATGCAAATAATTTTATTTTGATATGTGTGTGTCAAATAATACAGTAGTATTGTGTATAATAAAGTATTCCTTTTCGAAGAATTAAATGTGCAGAGACATATTGTCTTTCTATGGTACAGTAGTGCTGTTATGTCACAACCCACGTACCAATCAAAGTATACTTTAGTAAAGAGTGACCATTTCTCTACTTTTGTGCCAATTATAACTCTTATCACAACATAATGTTCGTAAACTCTTGCCCTTTAAGAAATACACTAGGCTATTTACTATACATCATTGGATACACTTGTCAGATGCCCTTTACTTATAGAAAACAATGTCAGTCAGGTTGAGTCCACTTACATTCATGCATTTTCATTCATTTTCTTAAATTCTTCTATTAAACTCCTCAGCATTTCACAACCAGCATTAAATTCACCACTTCTTGGTTTATTGCCTCCTTAAGATCCATCAGTGTTTGGGTGAAATTTGAAAAAGCTCCTAAGGGAAAAATCACACACACTAAAATCTGGTGACCTTGGGCTGCAGATTATCACGGAAACATGAAATAACCCTTCCTAGAAATCTAATACACACCATGGTCATTGATTCCTGCGAACAGAATGTGTGATTGTTAATAAACCTTGTGTAAATGAACGTAGGGATTGCTTATCAAAGAGATATAAATCACCTGTGACGTCAAAAAAAAGGGATTGAGCATATCAACACTTTTGAATCATAGCTTGAATCAAACCGTTTCAACACCTACCTCGTCCAAACAATCATTTTCCTGCCAAGGGGCTTCCTTTTTTGGATGGGTCTCATTTTCTTCAAATTGCTAATCCACCTGCAAATTGTATTTTGGCTAGAAACTATATCATGGTGTCTAAGATGAAAGGGAACTAAAAAATTCACAGCTCTGTTGTGATAGGCTCGCCATTTCACTCATACTCACTAACAAACATACTTCATTTACTGTCCAATGCTCTGTGGCTAGTAAAATGACATAATATGCAGCAATGAATGACACATCTCCCCATTAGCGACACTAACTGTTGCGCATATACTGTATGTTTGAAAAAGTCTGGTTCCTGTCGGTCACCCTGTTTAAGTAATGTGTGTATAAGCCGTGTATAAATTTCATGAACTGTCAAAATCACTAGTTTTATAAATCCCAAAATGGGAAATTCTCAATAAATGCTGTTTTTTAAATAACAACCCAAAAGTAGAGAGAGTCACTGTTTAGAGACAAAAGTCTATAAGTTGGCAGCCCTGCCTCCTTTACTTCATTTCCAACCAGCTGATATGCATTTTGGCATAGTCGTCCACATGGTGTAGTGTGATTGGAAATTTATTGTGAATAAGATTCAACATGTTTTTCCGTAGAATGTAACCCCCTGTTTCAAATGCACACATGTCGGAAAAACAAGTATAATATTACATTGTGGATCTTTACAGTTGATTTACCCCGCAGTTTATTAATTACATACTGAAATCTCATCTAAAACTTATCACAAACATTTCTTGGCATAAAACGAATAATTGATCATAAACAGATCCTTCTACAATTCATACTTTTAGAGCTTCCGATAACACCATGTTGAGTTTTATTCATAATAAATTCCCTTTTACACTTAAACCGTGAATTTAACAATGCTAAAATTCATATCAGCTGATTGTTAAGGAAGTAAAGGAAGCAGGGCTACCAATTTATAAGGTTCTTTTGTCCCTAAACAGTGAAACTCTGTACTTGTATTATGAATTGTGTAAAAAAATTACCATGTATATAAAATTAAAATGCCTTTATTCTTAAGCGCTTCTCAGTATAAACTAATTTACAGAATTACCCACATTAAAATTAATATAACCAAACAAATACAAGAAATGAATAAATATAATCTTCTCATGAAAGCTGAGGCCAAAAGGCTTTTGAACTGCAAGGGGAGGTCTTTATAAATCTGTGGGCCAAAATAGGAGAACCCCATTCTAATTTTTTGGGAAGTGGAGGAGAGTCTGCTCTTTAGTGCCCCCGTCGAGTAATTGCTCCACAAATCATAATTCTCTCCGCCAGGTATTTTGGTTCCTGATGAGATAACAACCGATGGATGAGACTGCAGGTTTTGATCCTGCACACAGTTTCGGCTGGAATAAACCAGCAGCATCCTGAAAAGAGGAGATGTAAACTGCTGTATTTTGCAGCCCATTAAGCCTGCTCATATCCTCAAATGAAGCCGTCGCCGTATGCAAGAAAACATTAATACATCACTGACAACACCAAAGACTGAACCAACTGCAATTTTGACACCAACAGAATTGAAAAGACTCTGTATGACATGAACTATTATATCAAATGAATCCAACAAACCAATAAGATTTGTAGTATTACTCTTCTCATTTTTCAATATGTATAGCCTCCGGAGTAACAAATTAAGTGGTTTAAATACATGAATTTTATGTAATCCAATTGGTTTTGGTTCGACACTGGAACCATCATCAAGCTTCATAAGGACATTGTCGCTTCTTGAGAAGGTCGTCAAAGTTCACACAAACAATATTTAATAAACATCAAAACATTAAAAACACGACTCGCATGACTAGATACTACGCGACCGGCAGGAGTTAACGTCTAGACTGCCGAGCACTATGATCTTATCAGCAACAGGTTGTTTGCAAGTTCTATTCTTCTCCCTTTCTATTATCTCTATTGTAGTGTTGTATATAAAATTGGATGCAAATGAAAGCTTATCGTTTAGCATGTTTTGTTTGTCTGACTTGATAGCCTTATAAATCTTGTTTTCTTCCAATGTGTTGATTTGAATCTTGTTTTTATTAACACTAATACCGAAATCCTACCTAGGCTGACGTTAACCGAAACCCCCGGTCTGTGAGACCCCATTTGAAAAATATTGGACCTCGCTTAGACAAACACAAACCGAAACCCTCGGCCTGTGAGACCCCGCTTTAAAATACACTAACGATGGGCTTCTGAGACGGGCATGTTATGAACAGACAACCTGTCAAGGTCACGGCACCCATGCAAAATGAACAAACAATATATCAATAGGTAGGTGAGGAAAAGGGGGGAAGGTATTGGGGGAATGGAATCTCCCAAGTAAACAGTGTTGCCAACACGCGTTTTTGAAAATTCCCGTGGGCCTGTCAGACCGGGGTTTCGGTATTAGTGTTAAGATGTAGAGCGGTTAGTGATGTGGGCCGGGTAAATACCCAGTGGGTAGGTAAATATAAATTGGGTATTTACCTGGGTATTTACCCCAGGCCCGGGTAAATACCCAAAAACTGGGTATTTATAATTTTTATTAAAGTTAGAGAAGATTGAGATGTTTTTTTGCAATTATTACCCTGTAAGGATAGTAAAATGATGATAAAATGCGTCAAACAAAATTTCATATGGTCACTACTAGCATTTTACTTCTGGGTATAATCGCCATAAATACCCAGGTCTGAGCATGAAGCTTAATCGGCATAAATATCCTGGTCGCATGGTTGCTTTGGTCCTGACTAATTATGATTTTTTAATTTCTATGATAGATAGATGAATTCATTTTATTGAAACTGAAGGAAAAGAATTTGTAAAGTAATAATTATTATTTAGAAAAAAAAGAAAATTTAACCTTGTAGTGGCCTATGTGTAAACAACTTAAGAAAATAATTAAAATTCAATCTGAAGGATGGCAGGATTTAATAATATTTTCTATTTTTTTATTTTGTTCTAGATCTTTTGTTGGTATCAATGGTGTCAAAATAAAAAAACTAATTTCATAAACTTGTGATACAAAACATTTGAATCTATAGCACAATACATCTTTCAACAATTCCTGGATATTTATAAATTCAAATAATTTGGTTTATGTTATTTAATTGGTTATAAATATATAAAATGATAAAAATTGAAAGCCTTTTTTAATATACTATTTTTTTGTAAGATAAATTTAACTGATGTTACTCGATTTAAGACACGAAACCCCATTCTCAATTAAAAACTTTATGTATTATCAAAAAAAAGTGCTAAATCATTAAAAGGTACTAGCAAAGCTTCAAGTTACTGTGTAAAAGGTGTTAAAGATTATCCTAATTTATCATGTAATGATAACTATAACATATTTAGGGGTAAATATAAATGAATTTCAATTGATTTCATAAATACCCAAAATACCCGGGTATTTATGGATTTTGGGTATTTACCCGGGTAAATACCCAGGGTATTTACCCCGAGTTTTAAATACCCGGGTATTTTACATCACTAAGAGCGGTCATGTTATCGTTGATATTAGAGTAGTTGTGGTTGTTAAATGCTCTGCAAAAGTTTATGGCTGGGTGGACGTGGTTTTCTTGGGGATATGTACCTTAAACCGTTTTGAGAAAGAGCGGGATGTCTGGCCTATGTATTAAAATACTACCACAATCACTGCAATTAATTTTGTAAACACCAGTTTTATCGTACTTTGATGTAGGTGGGTGAGGACGCTCCTTTAACACAGATCCAAGTTTGTCAACCGATTTAAATGCCACTGTGATGTTGTTC